TCATTAAAAGAACGAGTTAAGCGTCATTTAAAAGCAGGGCGTGTAAAGTGTGGAAGGCGGGCAGAGGAGCCGAGGAGCAAAAAAAGGCCGCTACATCTCCAAGGCAGGCGGAGGCGGAGTCCCAAGGAGAGCAGGTGCAGCGAGCAGAAATGGATCCCGACCGCCTTGCGTAAGAGGCTCCCCCAGAAGTTGCAGGGGGTCGCCACTTACACCCCGAGTAAAGGGACCACTGCCACTTAGAGAAGTCTGCAGAGAACGCGGTGCAGTTGCTGCTCCTGCTGTCATGGTTGCTACTGACGTACAATGAGGAGGAAAATGAAAATATGTTTTTTTAAAAATAAAATAAAAAACCCTCCAATGAATTCCAACCTCAGCCACCCTGCAAGGTCTAATCGCCGTCTCCTTGTTCCCACTGGGTAATAACTCTCTCTCTCTCTCTCTCTCTCTGTATGCCTCCTATAGATATAGATAAACAGGCGGACAGGAGCGCCGCATGAATGCCGGCCCTGCCAGGGAGGGCGCCTGACCCTCGGCTCCGCACCTCCGCGGGGAAAGAGCCGCGTGGGAACCCGTGCGCCCGAGGGGAGCACTTCGCGGCCCGGCCCGCCTCCCCCTCCCGCCCGGCCCGCCTCTCCTGCCTGTATCCCCGGTTCGAGGCCCTCGGCGGGATCCTGTAGACGCTGATCTCGGGCTTCACGCACAGCACCGACTCGTACTCCACCTCGGGCGCCGCCGCCGCCGCCGCCGCCGCCGCCATCCTCGCGACTCTGGGACGCGGAGCGGGAGCGAGGGCGGGAGGGAGGGAGCGAGGGAGGGCGGCCGGCAGCCCCGCGCGCCTCCAGCGCCGCCTTTGATTGGGGCAGCGGCGCGGGCGAGGGGACGCGGCCTATCACGTTCGCCGAAGCCCTGGCGGGCGCCATCTTAACCCCTGGCGCACTCTTACGCAACGAGGCCGGCCATATTGCGCAGTCACGACCCGCCGGGGGCGCCATCTTGGATTTCTGGGCGGGGGGGGGAGGGGGCAGGTTCGGCCGCCTCGCGGCGTAGACTTATCAAGGGTAGAGTCGCCTAAGTCGCCAACTCCCGGGTTCTTTAAAGATCTTTTCCCCCCCTCGGGGAGACAGAATTGCCCCCATTCGGCAGAGCCCCCCCTTCCGCTCGGGGCGCAGCACTTGATGGAGAGCGGAGCGCGGCCTCCCCCTCGTGCTGCCGCAATGGACCCCTTTTCGCCTTTAAGGAGCCGCCAGACCCGCCGCTGTTTCCTGGCCCTGGCGCGCCCGGCCGGGGCTCGGAGGCGGGCGGAGGGGGCCTCTCAGGCGGGCGGGTCTTCGCTGCAACCGGGGGGCTGAATTGCACCATTTACAAACCACGCAATATTGAGATAAGAAGCTGTATTGGCATTTTTAAAAAAGCTTTACAACTGAAAAAAACAACACACACGCACATTTTTTCACCCAAATAAGCCTGGGTTCTTTTTGCTGCTGCCTTTTGCTTTGGGGAGGGCGCGTTGCCATTCAGTCACAATTGTGTGTTAAAATCCTGGGTATCTGCCTCTCTCTATTTTTTCTTTTTTTACAAGGGAGAGGGCGAAAGGAACCCAAAAGCTCTGCCTTCAGTCCCTTGTATGCGTTTGTCTACTTTCTTATCTCCGTGTCTTTCTACTCGGCGGCGGCGATTAAGTTGGGCTGCTGAAGTCACGCGGGGAGCCATCTTTCGCCCTGGCAGCCAAGTTTCGGGCTCATAGAGAGAAGCGGCTTAGAACGAAGCCCCAATTGGGAAAGGCCGGACCACAGTTTTTTAAGTTTTCCCGAGACGAAACTGAGAGCTGCCCTTGGAAAAGAATGAAGTTCAAGATTTAAGCCTTGCTGTGATTGTTCTCCCCGAGCCCCGCAACCTCTTACCTGCCACCACGCGGGCCCCTCTTGGGCAGTCTGGAGTATTTCTTTAAAAACGTTTAATTACATCATCATCATATTATTTCCACCCACCCCCATATAAAGCTAGCATTAGAAATCGGAAGGATTCCCTTTTCTTTGCTGCCGCCTGGATTTTCATCAGAAAAACCTCACTTCAGAAGGAACCTGAGAGTTTCACCCCCAGAGTTTCTGTCTCTAACAGAGTATTATTGCTTCTATTAAATATTTCAAACCAAAGTGGTGGTTTTGAGTTTCAGTCATTGGCAGGTGGGATTGGGCTTGTCTGCATCACTAAACTATTGCATAAAATACTGTGTATGCCTTTCATTTCCAGATAAGGGTAATTGCGTAGTGACCAACACCACATCTGTGAGCTTTCCTGCATATTATTTCGTGTTTTAGCTAATATCATTTGAACTCCTGTTAACATTCAGCTATGTGTATGGAAACTGGCTCTATCTTACTCCAAAAATAACCAAGAAGTATGCCACAAATAGTTTAAATGCTATTTTTATTGTGTTTTAACAGATGTGACCAACATAACAGTTTTCTCTAGAAGTATAATTTAAGTGGGGAGGAACCCCCAGGGAATTTTTTACCCCCAACGGTTTTTCTTCTGTGGACAATCTGGACTCCAAGTTTTTTCTGGGCGGGGGGGGGCACTTATTTGTTTGCAGGCAGGTCTTCTGCCTATCATGATAATGGCGGCAGCGGCAGCAGTGAGCAGAATTTTGAGCCACCCGCTTGAATTTAAGAGTTCTGCAATCTTAATTGTGGCAAGCCCATTCCCAACACACACACACACACACCCCGTGTCCAGGGCAGGAGCGGCATAGTTCAGATTGTGGTGTGAGTTCAAGATGATGGGCCACATCACTGATGAATCATCCACCCCCTTTCTGAGACAGGCAGCCTCCCCTTTCGCTGGCAGCACTGCAGAACACAGCTGGGCACCCAGACTCTCGGTGTCACTCACTGTCTTAATTAAGTCACTCCTGACCTTTGCACATTGACTCTAGGGGTGGCATCATTAAGATGGCGGTGCATGAGCACATGGGCTGGAGCTATGCTTAGCACCACTACCAGGTTGCTCCCCACCCACCCAAGGCCTGCCTGACAGGCCAGCCAGGCTGGCAGCATCTCTTCAGTAGCAGCAGGGAACCTGCGTGGCCCTGCAGATGAAGCGGGACTCCCAACAGCCTTGCCAGCGTGGCCAGTGGTCAAGGAGTAGGGGAGTTGTAGCCCAACCCACAGGTTAGCCATCCCAGCATTAGGGACTGCAGATGCATGGTTTAGGATGCACACTTTCATTGGGGGACAGGGGACAAGGTTGGCCAAGCCTGATGAGTCTTACTGCCCCCACCGTATGCACACAAACATGTCCAAACTCCCTCCCAGTCTTCATTTCAGGGTTAAGACTGGCAACTTAGGTTTCTGTTTTGTTTCTTTAAATGGGAGTGGAAAGCAGACTGTGGTTATCTCCCAAGAGATCTCTCTGCATTTCAAAACTAAAGCAGAACTAACGCTGACTTACATTAAGTCCATCATTACTGACCCTTCACGTGGAGGAATACAGTGGTACCTCAGGTTACAGACGCTTCAGGTTACAGACTCTGCTAACCCAGACATAGTACCTTGGGTTAAGAACTTTGCTTCAAGATGAGAACAGAAATCACATGGTGGCAGTGGGAGGCCCCATTAGCTAAAGTGGCACATCAGGTTAACAGTTTCAGGTTAAGAACGGACCTCCAGAACAAATAAAGTTCTTAACCCGAGGTAGCACTGTACCTGATAAGCTTCCCTGAAACACAGAAGGGAAATCACTCATATTACTTATTGAATATGATGAATGGTTTCTTATTAAGATTCATTCCAAACCATGTTCTGACCTGGCTTTTGGGTGAAAACAGACTTGCAACAGACCCTGGTGGATGATGTGTGCTGGGGACTAGGGAGGTGACCATTATGTCCCCACCTGTCCAGCCTAGGTGGTACAGAATGACAGTGACTCCAACCCTTCCTTGTTGGTTTTTCTCAGGTGGTGCTGGGTGACTTCTATTCCATCCCATGGTCTTTTCATGGATAAGGGTCCCATCTTATCTATGATCCATCATGCTCTTCAACATCTAAACAAAGCCAACCAGAGGTTTAGGCAGCGATGTCACCAATATGCAGATGACAGACAGCTCTACTCTCTTTTTTGCCTAAGTCGCCCATGAAGGTTGTGGACCACATGAACCGGGTGCCTGAGATGGATGAAGAAGAAGCTGAAATTTAAGCTAGGTAAAAACAGGTTTTGACAGTTGGGACGGTGGCTACTCTGGATTGAGCTCTTATACAGGAACACCTTCTAGCATCTTAGACTTTATACCAGCTGTGCGCCTAATTAGAGTGGCTAGGACAGGATAGGAACCTCCAAGTTAAGACTGCTATTGTGCCCTGTCATGTAGGGCTACCTATGAAACTACAGCTAGTGCAAAATTCAGTTACTCAGATGCGAACGAAACCAGGACATCTGAACATGTGACACCATTTTTTGCACCAGCTGAACTGGTTACCAATAATAATAATTATTATCTTATTTAAACCCCAGGTTAACTGAAAGGCCACCTTTACTTGTATGATGCTGCCCATATGCCACTACGGAGGTCCTGCTCTTGTACCTCCTTACTGAGAAAATTGGTTAGGCTAGAGAGTGTGAGAGAGAGCAGGGCTTTCTTGGTGGTGGCCCCAGTAATGGAACTCCTTTCTGTTAACCTACACTTTGCCCTTTCAGTCTAGGCCTTTAGAAGGAACTTGAAAGCACAACTCTTTTCAACTGCCTTTCTTTGAGGGCACAAATGGCTTCTGTGATTCAAAGAAGTGTTTTGTTTCATTTTCAGATGGCACCTGCATCCTTATAAGTTGCACACATTGCATCTTTATGTATATTGCTTTGTGAGGGCTTGGCCTTAAAGGGCACCTTATAAATACTTCCAATGATTAAATAAAAAACTTCATCTCTTTTAAAAATGTGCTTTTGAAGTGCATTTATTCCAAGCAGTTCTGATGTTCTGCCATTTAAGCTATATGGCTGAAGGGCACCCTTTCTCCAGATTGATCTCTGCTGTTTTGCCTTAAAAACAAAACTAAAATGCTCTTAAAAGTTTGCTCAGCCTTATGTGGGGACTCTCCTAATCAGAACAATCAAGAAAATGAACTACTGTAGCATGTTCTCCCTGTAAAAGTGATTAGGAGTGCAATCTGCAACTTCCTGTCCAGAGCTGCCTTTTCTTCTTCCCCTATTCTTGACCCAGTCGGACACAAGGAGCTGGTGACCAAAGACTGCAGCAGCAGAAACTACTGTGGAGCCAGTCCTACAGCAAAGGTAGGCGTTAGCTGGGGCAGGAGATTGGGGTTGAGGGCTCCTACATGAGACATATAAGCTTATAGCCAGGATTTGGAGAGGGAAAATAGGAAGTATTGAGTGGGGTGGATGGGGAGAAAAGCAATTCATCCTTTTTGTGAATTATTCATAGTTGGGGAATAAGAATAAGAGAGATCTTATCTAGAAGGAGTTTGCTCACATTTTTGAAAAATCTGAAGAAGGGAGAGCTGCTAAGGAAAGCAAAAAGCCACCAAATGCCCCCCCCCCCCTAATAAAAACCAATAAGGATCAAGTTTCCAAAGGGGTAGCTGTGCTTGCTGTTCTTGCTCCAGCAAGGACTAAGAGCCACTTTAAAGACGAACAAAAGTATGCTGGTATAAGCATTCATGGACTACAGTTCACTTCATCAAATGCATGGTATGGTTATCTGTGGAATCCAACTATAGTCCATGAAAGTTGATGCCCAGACAAATGTGTCAGCCTTTAAGGTGCCACAAGACTCTTTGTTTTTAATAAAAATCAGTAACTTACAAGGCACAGGCTTATATTGTGTGAGACATACTCTGGAAACTAAAACTGCTATATCAGGGACTACAAATCATGACCACTCTTGTCAACTCACTTTTTAATCATTAAAACAGTGTGCTTTGATACTATTATAGTGAAGTTCTAATATTTTGTCTGATACTGTCTGCCTACTAAAAATGTAATAAAATAAGGATGTGGATGCACAGCCCTAATAACCACACAGTCATTGACTATGGATATGTGCCTTGCTTCAACGACTGCAGTTTTAATAGGTCCATAGCGCTAAAAAAAAGTAGTCCCCAGACCTGTAAGACAAGGAAACTCTTAAATTTCTGAAGAAATCCAGGTTCTGAGCCCTCACGGTTGTGAATAAATATAACAAATGGTTACAAGAGTGCCACTGTCAAAACTCATAAGCAACCAAATGGTCTGTACATATTCTTTTTTTATATATTCCATCATGTTTGGGTTGGGGCTTTCATTATTACTGACTACAATTGCCACTGCTGCATGGCTGACACATTGGTTATACTGTAATTGCAACATCGCACACGTCATAAAAATATACAAGAGACAAAAATGGTGTCCACTCACAAATTTTCCCCTACCACAAAGGGAACCACATCATTTGCAATGGAAAAAAAAAAGCAACTAAGCTCAAGTCATTATAGAAAAGGATTTATACACTGAACCACCACAACCAACAAAAAGCCCTTCAAGCTACAGCTAGGATTATCGTAGCAAGCCGGGGGAACTGACCATTAGAAGTGCACCCTGGGGGCGAGGGGAAGCCCCTGTCTCACTGGAGCTTAATGTAATTTCCTGAGACTGCCGCTGCATGGATGGGGAGCGCATCCAATTCCCTTGCACTGGGCTTCTTTAAAGTTCTGACTAATGCAGACATGGTTACTGATCCCTCGAGTTGGGGGAAACGCAATGGCAGCCCCACTCCTCATCCTGGCGATGTGCATCCATGTAAGCAAGCGGAACAGGACAGCGCAGAACTAGCCCGACCAGGGAGGTCCTTGATCCTGTAGAGATAAGTTTGTTCCAAGAGTATAGAGAAAGCCAGGCCCCCATTGAGATGGGAAGGTGGCTGCCTCGATTTCTAGACATCATTAAAGAGTGGCAACAGGCAGTGGCGTAGCGTGGGGGGTGCAGGGGGGGCCGGCCGCACTGGGCGCAACATCTGGGGGTTAGGGTTAGGGGGCGCAAATCCATGGGTTAGGGGCGCAAATTACTTGCCTTGCCCCGGGTGCTGACAACCCACGCTACGCCACTGGCAACAGGCAAGGTAGTATTATTCAATTAATGTGTGTGCACACATGCAGAGGCCGTGGAGCCACTTGGATTTTATGGCACAGGGCAAAGATGTCTTTTGCTGCACCCATGAAGCAGGGAAGAGCCCTCGTGTTCTTTAATCCTGTACAAGGAATAAGGGGTAAAGCGAAGAAGGCTGAGATTGCTTAGCACAAAAAATCTCCAGGGTGGCCACTGGTTTTGTCACCATTTTGTGGGAGGGATTAAATCACATACGAGAAATTTAGGTCTGCACAATTGCAACTGGGTGCAATTAACTCACTTCTTTGAAAAAAGAAACCCGGATATTTCCCAGTTAGGAAAGTGACAGACACTAAAAATTTGGGATAACCATCGATTCATGGAAGTTGTACAACATCCCCATAAAAAAATTAGAACAGAATTCCACCCACCACCCAATTACTGGAGAACGGGAAGACAACTATTCCCACTTCTTAGGGTATAATTAAATGAATTATACAAGAGGACACCAACCTGTTGGTCAAGGGCCTTCCACAAGTTTTGGGTTCCTGCCCCTTGTGGTCCCACCCTCTCATCCTCCAGGTGTTAACATCATCTGAGTTTGCACACTTTTTCTTGATCTTCCATCAAGTGCAGCAATACAAAAAGAGGCTTATTTCGACCTTACCTGACAAATGAATTTCACTGCGTACAAGCAACAAACCAAGCGTTAAAGCTTTCCCTGGACTGCGCGATTTTAGGCTCCAGGTGAAGGGTTGAATATTTGAGCTCTCTCCCATCTTAAATAAATTCACCTTCCTGCATGAAGGAAATGCTTCCACCTGTAGCCTGAAGCAGTTTAGCCCCCCCCCCCCCCAATATCTTGCTACTGTACTTGACTCTGCTGAACGTATGAACTATCCCTAGCAGGGTTAGCCCCAGATACGTTGCTGCTTGGAAGTGGGACACCTAAGCACCACTTCTTCCCACTAATAAACAAACAGGAGGCGTAAGTCACTAGGAAGTTCTTCTGCACAAGTGTGAATAAAATTAATGGGAGCGACGCAAGAGCCCAAGGATGCCCCTGCAAAGCTCCCATGCATTTCAGCAGCAGCTTGTGCGGGATAATTTCCCACTGACTGTGGCCTGATCTCTGAGGCTGCAACTCTCCTCATTTAGAACAGCATCTAAGAAATTCGGTTTGTTTGCATTTTTCAGGCTTTTCCTCCTTTCTTTTCTTTTTTAAAGAACATGCCTCCATTCATGGCTAATGAGAGTTTCTACGAATCTGAGGACTCCTTCACGGTACAACATATGGATTCCGCGTCTATTGGATCTCTGGTCATCTTCTCCATCACCTTTCTCCTGGGCCTCCCTGGAAATGGCTTGGTAATCTGGGTCATTGCTCTGAAAATGAAGCGAACGGTGAACACGGTTTGGTTTCTGCACCTTGCCGTGGCTGACTTTGTGTGCTGCCTGTCCCTGCCTTTCTCCATTGTCCACCTGGCGCTGCATCAGCAGTGGCCTTTCGGGTGGTTTTTCTGCAAGATTATCCCGTCTGCCATCATCTTCAACATGTTTGCCAGTGTCTTCCTCCTCACCACCATCAGCATCGACAGGTGTCTTGTGGTGATGAAGCCTGTCTGGTGTCAGAATCACCGGACAGTAAGGTTCGCATCCGTGGTCTGTGGCGTTACCTGGTTCCTAGCTTTCATTATGTGTTTTCCTGCTTTCTTCTATCGCGAAATCTCCATTGATGAATCGGGCAATGCCAGGTGTGTCTACAATTGGCACGGTGAGGAATATGAGGAAGGATGGCCAGATTATTTGTTTCCCAGCAATGAAGAGTTTTCTAGTCAACGCCCTGCCTTTGTGGCTAGTAACTATGAAGATATTTTCACAGACGGAATTTTGGATGTGTATTCTGAGTACCATATTCTTAATACAGACAAAAGCAAGGCTTGGTATTCCAGCACACCAAGCACTCTTGGCACTAATAGAGATACAGATTCATTGACGGTGGAAGTCACCAGCCCAAAATACGTGTCACACGAATCTTCCCACCCAGCTACTGCCATATCCAATGTTATTTATTCCGATCTTTCCGACTATTTTCTTTTTGGCAATTACTCTGGCAACCTCCTGATTAGCAATGACTCGATGGCAATGCCTTTTTATGATGAGCTGCCAAGCGTTCTTGTGTCCATTACTGTCACCCGAAGCATCTTTGGTTTCCTCCTCCCCTTCGGAATCATGACTGCCTGTTACTTCCTTATTGCCCTCAAGATGCTCAGAAACCAATTTGCAAAGTCCCGTGTGAAGGCTTTGCGGGTGATCCTGCTTGTGATAGTCACTTTCTTTCTCTGTTGGGCTCCTTATCATGTCATTGGGGTACTGTATCTCCTGGCTAACCCCAGCACAGCACTTTATGAAACAATAGCTTTGTGGAACCATGTTTCCACAGCATTGGCCTATGCCAACAGCTGCATCAACCCACTTCTTTATGTGTTTGTGGGGAAAAAATTCAGGGAAAAAGCACGCCAGACAGTGCAAGGGATTTTGGAAGGGGCGTTCAGTGAGGAAAGAACATGCTCCACTGCCTTCTCCCAGGACAGAAGCAAGTCTACAGTTGACCATATTGATGTTTCCGCCCTCTAAAATGGAGCTTCCAGGCAAATAAACTGTCCTTGCTACTGTGGGTTCTTGATTGGCACAGATGTGGCCACTTTGAATTAGTATCTGGAGCTCTTGCATATACAGAGAGCAGCCACACCTTGTGAATCCCCTTTGTGCTGCGGTGTGAGGGAGTCAAGTGAAGTTCTGGGTTACACCACAGAAGGGAGATGGGGACAACTGCCTATCTTTGCAACATGTGTGGTGGTGGTGGTATCCAAATTTGTCAAAAATTTCCTAACACTGCAGATGTGCCCTACAGTATTACTTCACTTGTTATATACTGTTTTCCCTGTTGATGAAAGTAGCATAGCCATGTATGACAAGCCAGAATAAGCTTTAGCGGTGACACAGAAATCTTGCAAGAAGTGTCAGCAGCTTTCTTTTGTAAGTGGTCTGCGTTCACCAAACACTGTCAAAGAAAACTGGAGGCAGTGCTTAATTTCTAAAAGCAAAGCAGGGAAGAGGTAGACAAGGGCTGAGCCTACGTTCTGCAAGCAGATCTAGGAGGAAAGCCCCTTCCCTTAACTTTAGGTGGGAATGGCTGCTCAACAGAAAGGAAAAGGTACGGTCAAAGGAGTGGTGGTGGTGGTCAACAGGCATGGCTAGAACCTACAGAACCAAGCCAAATAGTACCTGCAGACTTGAGTATCAGCTATGAGTATCCTGTCCATTTTCAGGGCTACTGGAGACTCCATTCAAAATATGCTTATTTCCAGAGCATACCTTAGGGGCTGCCTAGTTAATGAATTCTCTCCCTCTGCAAATTCACCCAACCTGGGCACCTTTCCAGAAGCACTGTAAGGCCTACATTTTAGTACTAGCACTGGGAGAGTGAGTTAAGAGAAGTGGGGTACAATTTATTCTGTTCAGCTGCAGATGCATTGCTTTTGTCCCAGTTTTTTGCTGTTACGTATTTGGATTGGGGTAGGTTGCACACATGTACTAATAAATAAGTTGCTTTTAACCCTCTGAATTAAAACAGGCTTGATTTTTCCCTCATCACATTTATCCTATGGTTACTCTCCCTTCCTAGCAACACTAGGTGGCTTTAATTTGGAACCGCTTAGTCCTTCTGCCTCATACCGGGGGGTGGGGGGTGGGGAGTGTGAGAGAAACCAACTAGGGTGACAGAGAGCCTGAGCAGCCAGGAAGCAGCCTGGCTCTATCAGTCTCTAGGCATCTCAATAGCAGAACCCTTACAGGCAGTTTACACCAAAAGCCAGATCAGAAAACCCAATAAAGACTAGGACCCTGCGTTGCTCTTAGTCTTCTCTCTCTCTATGGGATGGGAGGTTGTTTTTCTTTTCCATCCACAGGTAGAGGTAGGAGGAAGTGGTCTCCTTTCCATCTTCTCTTGAAAGCATTTGACAGCAGCCAACAGAGCAACCTCATGATTCCTTGTTGGCGAGAAACTTTCTCCTTTCCTTGACAAATTAAGGGAAACTGCACGCCAATCAAGAACATAAAACTATACACACATTATGTGTATACAAAACTGCACCTAGCAGCTTGGTGACCAAGCTATTAAAGATGGCCTTGAATTGAGTGACACCTCTGCATCAGGCAGGGCATAGGCAAGAAGCTACTATTTCTTCCCCACCCGTCCTCCAAGGAGGTCAAAGTCATGGGCATCCCTTTAACAACAACCCTGAGAGGTAGGTTAGCTTGCAAGATCGCAACTGGCCCAGTCACCCAGTGACCTTTGTGGCTGAGTAGGCATTCAGAGCAGGTCTGCCTGGTCAAAGTTTGTTGTAACCTTTGAATCCAGCAGCAGGACAGATCCAGTTGGGGCTGTAGATGCACCACCTAAGGAGCCAACTAGGAACTCAGCTGGCTGCTCAATCTTGAGAAACCACTGTGCCTGAGGCTGTCACACAGGAGCCCCATAAGAACCTCCTGAACCACTGAGGTCTATAGGGACAGGCCCTCGCAGAACACCGGGAACCAAATGTTTCCCACAAGACCTCATCGGTCTAGTGACACAGGGGGGACACCAGGCTATGGGACAGAGGAGTGCCTATCTACAGGCCAGGTGGTTGGCCCTTCAAGTATGTGATGTTGTCTACAGGGGGCAGCACCAAGAAGAGGCAGTCTGGAGGCAGAGGCTTAGGCCTCACATAATGGGAATAAGTCTGACAGAGCCTGTGTTAAGTGTCCCCCCTTGAGATGGTTAGAGAACTCTGTGCCTGATCTACATTTCTTGACAAACGAGTCAAGAAAATGGTCTATGCCACTGTAGGACATGCATTTCTGGATGCTTCCCTGCATTTGAAAAATACATTCTCTGCTCAAGTAAAAAGAAACATGAAAAAAAGGTTCTAGCTCAACCCACTCTCCAGCAGTTTTCTCCTTGCAAGGAAAAGTAACATAGGGAAACATACAAAAATGGCGCTCCCTCACCTGGCCGTTCTAAAATGATGCAATCTAATCATTACCACCTCATTTGTTGTGTGTGTACACCAGGCCCACCTGTATGCAGCAGATATACCTAAAAGAAAAGGTTTGAAGAAAGCCTGTTGGTATGCATGTTGAAGAAAAGGGGGCTAAAGAAGCCTTTGCTCGTGTCCTGGAGAAAGTAGCTAAGTGCAAAACATGATTCCCTTTGAATGCTGCAGGTCTGATGAAAAGCCCTTTGGGCTCAAATTGTCTGTTTCTAAACTCGAATCAGCAAGGAAGTCAGCTGACTTCCATATGTGCATCATGCTCCACCCAATCACTGCACCCAGCCTTTCTCAACTATGCTCAAAAGACCAGTTCCCTTTTGAAAGTCCAAGTTGCTCAATAAATAGCATAGCTCAGCAAAAATAATGTGCCAAAAAAAGAAGTCTCCACTCATGACTTTTATTTTGGATCACACTCCATCACTCCTTTGAAACAAGGAAGCACCCATCACTGACTAATCTAAAAGTTTCCTGCAGCACTGGACCTGAAGGTCTTTGAGCTGTGAAGTTGAAGATTTAAGGAAAAAATTAGATTCCTGCACTGATGGCTTCTAGAACTCCTGACTGCTGATTGGCTCTTACATCAACTCACCCAACAAAATTCCCTCTACTGAAATTTATTGTGGTGCAATGAATACTGTTAGTGTTGGATTATTCAGCCATGACCCTGGGCACCTCACTCTCTGAACCTCACACAGTTGCTATGAAAAGAAAACAGGGTTAGCCCAAATATGTCGCCTGAGCTCCTTAGAAGAAGGGTAGGATACAAATATCAAAAACAACAAACTTAAGTACCAGTGATTCAACTCAGTTTTAAAATATCTTGGTAGGGCTGTTTCCACACTGCGATTAAGATCTGTTGCACCTAGCCAAGGCAGTGTTAATTACATTATTAAAAAAAACCAAACTTCTGGACTAATAAGGTCCTAATTCTATGTCCTAGAACATTGATCCATAATAAATATTTATAAAAGTATGTAATCCTTTATGATAATACAGACGACTCTTAACTCACCAGGGGGTAAGGCCAAAATCATGTACAGCCGTGTCTTGAAAGTTGAGCAGCTTAGTTCCCAAACTTTTTGGCTCCCAAACAGTTTGCAAACTATTTTTGGAAGCTAAACATCCAACAGGGCTTCCGTGGCTTTTGATTGGCTGCAGGAGCTTCCTGCAGCCAATCAGAAGCTGCGCTTTGGTTTTTGAACATTTTGGAAATCGAACGGACTTCCGGAACAGATTCCATTCGACTTCCAAGGTACGACTGTATAGTCAAAACACATTGGGTTCAACAGTGAGTGGAATTGCCAAAGTCTTTTTTCTCCATATATATATATATATATATATAGCCAAGTGTGTAAAGCTGAATGTGCACAAGTGAAACGTGTGTATGTTGTGAGTTACCGGTACTAAAAATCAGGGCCATCCAATTAAACTGAAGGAAATAATTGAGGACAATGTAAAGTACTTCTTTACCCAGTGCATAATCAGTTTATGGAATTTACTGCTAATGGCTGTCCGCTTAGATGTCTTTCAAAGGGGGCTGGACAAATTCATGGGAGAATAATTCTATCAATGACCACTAGTCATGATGTCTGTATAGAAACTCCATGAGCAGAGCCGGCATGCCTCTGAGGATGAGCAAGAGAGAGCTGCCAGCTTCATGCCCTGCCTATGGGCTTCCCTGAGTAATCTAGTTGGCCACTGTGGAAATCAAGATGCCGGAACAGATGAAAGTTAAACTTCATCTGCTCTCATGGAGCTCTGTCTAGGTTTGTAATTTATCTCTGTTTACATAATTTATTCCACAATTTGGAAGAAGGTACAGGGTTATAAAGACTAGGACTAGCCGCCTGAGAAAGTTTCTATCCAAATGCGATTTTGGTTTTAAACACAGTGTAAAGTAGTCTCTATGGGAGTATACTGTATTTAATTATGGGGTATCAGAGTTTTTAGGGGGCTAACCAGGCTGGGATAGCAGGATTGTTGGTTTTTGAATGTCTGATGTAGATTCTTTCAATTTCGTTGTTCTGCATGGGACAATGACAATAAAGATTATTGTTTTGTATTGTATTGTATTATTCTGTATACTTTATTCTGCTTTTACTAAGAAGGAGCAATGCAAGGGCACTCAAGCCACATCCCTAGTGAAATAAACTATTTTCAACCACCTTCCTGGATTCTAGGATTTCAGCCCCCAATTTCAATAATATCTTTAAAATCGTAACGGACAAAGCATTTTTTAAAAAGAAAAAGGAAGCAGTGTTTCTCTAAACATTGAATTCTGCACTTTCTGTGCTCCTGCAAAATTCACTGTATAGACACTACTCTGCACGAAGGGATGGCTTTGGGCTCTGGTTGTAACATGAGGTGGTACAAATGTAAGGAATAAACTGGAATCAAGCATATGTAAAATGACAGGCTTTGTTTCAGTAAGAACAAGGCTGTATTTCCTTTGTCCAAATTCCAGCCCAATGATGTGAGTTGCACCTTACGAGTTGCCACAGACAAATTAAAACAGGGGCACCAAAGGGATTAAACCATAAACATTCACTTTTTTAATTAAGAAAGCATGCAAAAAAAATAAATCTGTGAGGCCACACCCCTCTCCCATCTCCTTGACATAAAGCGTTGTGGGCTGCACTGAAGCGAGTGGGCAGACGAGGGATTTCTCTCCACGGCAGGCAGGCTGGCCGGCCAGCCCTCTGTGCTGCTGACCCTTGTTTTTCCAGGACAGGCTGTGTCAGCTGCTCACAGTGCAGAATTCCAGTGCTGAGTCTATGACTTCATGTGTCCATTCCAATACTAACCCACTTGAGAATGATGCAGTTAATTCAGAGGCAAAAGGGAGGATGTGGCTAATTTGCACACTGACTGGCATATATTTACATATGCAAACAAGGCGCCTTTAAATACCTATAGGAGTGATCTTTTATTCCCTCCACCTTCTGTGGATTTTATTCTTCGAAAACTTCTTGTAAAAAGCACCAGCTGGCATCTGGAGGAGAAGTCATCTCTACAGCGTGTTCCACAGACACTCGCCAACAAGAATCGCCTGTTCCTGGTCACATCATTCTCATCTTGGGACAGTGTAGACAACCATTAAAACTCCTCCAGGAATTCAGCTCAGGGATTTTCTACTCCTCTCAGTACACACAATGATGGCCCCATTCCCCAACAACCAAAAATTCCCTCCCTCCAAAATCCATTGGAACAGTGAGTTAAAAGCAGTGCTACAGAACATTCCCACCCTCGGGCACAGCACTTTCCTATGATGTTTTTCGCTTCCAACTTAAGTTTCCTCTTCACACAAAGCAGGCTTGCAGCTGAAAGAGTATGCAGATTAACAAGAGGTCTGGCAAAAGAGAGTCACACTAGAAACTGAAAACAAAGCAGCAAAGAGGTCACCTAGCCAGATCCAGTTCAAAATTCAATCCTACACTGGCACCCTTCTTCTTCCTTGTCTCCTAAGGACTGCCATACAACTGAACTTCTGCCCTTCCTGACCCCACGTGACTTGGAAGGGCCCTTCCAACTTCCCCTCCTATTCCAGCTATACACTTTCGGCATCTTCTTCACAGAGATATTCCACAATCACTTAGCCTCTACCAGAAAGCTTTAAACCCTCCACCCACCAAGCTCTGCTCAGCATTACATTCCTCCTTTCACCTTAAGTTTATCCACGAAACAGGGACCACCAGTTGCTTATTTTAGATAAGGCAGACAAGACACCCTCAGCTCTTACTCTTGCATCACAAGCCACAACACTTTCTAGAGAATTGAGAGGAAGTCAAATTCAGGAGTTGAAAAACAAAACCTTGCAGGGTAGAGAAGTTACTTCTTGATTTTTATGTCTTATCTGCATATTCAAATAAGAGCCTTACTGCATTATGAGAGAAGGCAGCAGGAGGGGGGCGAAACTGTGATAAGACAAGCCCTGAGGATTCTGGTTCGATCTTGGTACCCAAGCCACATGATGCAGATACAAGCCAGACCTGTCAAGCTTTCATCGTCTGCCGAGGGGGAAAGTGCAAAATGGCAGTGATTGAAAAAGGCAGTGTAGAAAAAAGGTAAAGGCCCCCATCGTCTATACCAGACACTCAGTCCCTACCAAGCAGCAGACTCGTAACCACAATGTTTCAGCTAGAGGGAAGTCCTCACCTTCCACTAAGGCAAGCCTGTCTCTGTCAAACTCCAATATTCCAGCTGTTCTCCACACCCAGAGCCTCATATTCTGTGCACTTGTTAATCCTGCTGCTCCTGCTGGTGTGAGAAAGTTCACAGACCTCCTTTCAACGCCGGTCTAACCCTCCCCTCCCCTCCCCCCCCCTTTACAACATTTAAGAAAGAACATAATTATTACAGACTTTCAAGATTCACGGGGCTCTCTCACTTTTGTAGCCAATAAAACAGAGTCACTGGCCACCTTGAAGGGAAAGCGGGATTGTTAAAACGCAGGTGATGCAGGAAGAGAAAGGTGCCCTCAAGAATTCCTCCTTCCGAGGTCTTCTCATGACACCAAAAAACAGTTTTCCTACCCTCCATCCCACACAGGGTGCCAGTAAACACATAAAATCCGAAGCTGGAAGATGGAGCAGAAGGGCTGTGCACTATTATTGATGATGATAATAATAATAATAATAAAGAAGAAGAAAATAAGGTAAAACAGGGAGCGCAAGGAAGGATTATCTTCGGCAGCATCTTGCGGCAGCTTCTCTGGCGGAAGTAGAGAATATATATCTATATACAGGCAAGGAAAGAGGCTGAAGGTGCTGGTCTTGTGACCCAAACCCCAGACTCCCCTTCCCATACCCTACATGAGGGATGTGCTATCAAGTCTGTAACTTGCTAGGTGATCAAATCCCAGTTGAAATCATCAGGGATTTCCTCATTGGCACCTGGAGGCGGCCGTGGAACCAGATGATGACCTGAATGCATTGCAGAAAGGAAGAAAACAGGAAACAAGTGTTCTATTATGTAGAATTCTTGATAATAAACTACTATGATCATTACAGAGCAGCTCGGTTCAGTTGAAACTCTGCACATGCCCCCAAATGGTGTTTTTGGCTTGGCCCTGGTGGCATATGTGAGACTGTCAACGTATTCAGGCCCTTAAACAGGAGGCTGCAATTGCTTCAATTAATTCCGGAATCCAATGTCATATCTAATGCAAGCAACACTTTGTCTGTTATCTCTTGTGAGTGAATGGATTGAGCCTAAAAGCATATCCTGCATTTCCTGAGAGGGCCAAGCTGAACCATTTTCCAGCAAAGGTGAGATCACCTCATTAGAATGAGATCTGAGTCGTGGACTCTGCTTTAACCCTGTGGTAAAACAGCTGGCATGACTTAGGCAGACCCAGGAAAACACATTACCTGTGTCTTTCTACTATAATGACTCATTGCGAAAAGCCTGGTTCAGATTGAAGTGAAGTTTACTGGTAAGTTTCCCCTGTTACTGGATGTATACTGTATTCATAGTTTGTACAGCCATTTGGGATCACACCAGAAGGCTGCTCTGCTTTCAGATGCTCTATAGGTGGGTGTGGAAGATGGCTTTTCTCCCTGTCATTAACTTAAGTTAGACCCTTTCCTTGTCTCAATCTTCTCCATACTCCTTGTATCTGAACTGTGTTTGTCATTTTCTTCAGAATTATTCAGGACTCCTTCATGCAGAGGCCCCTTTCCCAAAGGATAATTTTTTCTATGTTTAAATGAATTGAAAGGTTTGAAAGAACCCAGGATAAAACTGGAGATTAATTGCAAGGAAAGAAGCATTTTGACTAGACTCTGCAAGGCCCTGGTGGATTTTGTTGTCCGGTAGGTAAGAAAGAGAGACAATGTCTGCAGGGACACTGGGTTTCACTAGAACTAATAAGTAAGTCTGCTCAGCTGTAGACTACTAGCACATTATAGACAGTGCCCCTCTTGAGTTGCAGTAGACAACCCAGTTTTTCACCTTTCCAAGTTCCTTCAACCACATGACAGGTAAATATTAGCACCTCAACTTTTGTACTTCTTTCTGTTTTCTGAATTTCCCAGTCCCATGCACTTTTAGTCTTTCCATTCTACACCTGTAGAACAGTGGACCCTCCAGATACGAACTTAATTCGTTCCGGGGGTCCGTACATACCCCGAAAAGTCTGCATCTAGAGGCGCCGCTTCTGCACATGCACGCGGCACGATAGAGCGCTTCTGCACATGCGCGGCGAAACCCGGAAGTATACACTTCCGGGGTTGCCGCATTCACAACCCGAAAGTTACGTTACCCGAAGGTAACGTAACACAAGTGTCCACTGTAGTAACTAAGCATTTGGGCCAAGCAATGTGTGGGTGGTTTAGCCTGTGTAACTAAGCACCTAACTCAAACATTTGCTAGAAATCATCTGCATATGTTTGAGGAAAGAGGTGATAGCAGAAAGCAGATGATTTATATTTGCCAGCTAAACCTGGAGCAAGCCAGAAATGAAATTATTCAACTTTTTATGTTCAAAGAGTATCTCAAAACTCATCCTTACCTGGACGATTATACCCTGGCGTGTCCTGGGTGGAAATCTGGTACATTGGAGATGGCCCAGAGTAGAGATGGGGAGGCTGTGGCTGACCGTAAGAGTTCACTAGCAGAGAAAAGGGGAAAAGAACCATCAATAGCCCCAGCTACCTGCTTGCAACCTGGAAACACAAACGATTAAGGTGGGATATGTGACTTCTACACATGCTCTCAGGTCTTCCTGTAAGTTTATCTGTAGCATCATCTGGGATACAGAAAATCAGGGATGGTTTCTATCATTCAGCTGGTTTGGCTCCTTTGCCAGATATAAATATGAAAAACAATTAGCAACTTTCTCAATACATAAAAAAATCAAATTTGCATTTTCTACAAAACACAGATCTGTTTTTGGTTTCGTTGTATGTGAATTCATGTACCTCACTAGCCATGTCTGAGCACTATAGTTACAAAGTTGACATAAATTTGCTAGATCAACTCTTAAAGACTTCCTCTTTTTATCTTAATGCTCTTTTAAAAGCATACTAATTCAGCTTTGCAAAGAAATCCACAAAAATTACTAGCCCACTAGGCCTTCATACACCAGTTCAGTAATTTTTGAAAACTGTTACAAGTCTTTCATTGTATAATTAATTCCATCGTGGATTAACTGGAGGCATTTCTTACAGGTAGGTGGTTATTTACAAACCTATGCTACTCATATGACTTTACTGCACTAGAGTAAATGTGGTGGGGTGCAATTTGAAGTCGAAGAGGTAACAATATGTAGATGTTTTCACACAATGTGTCATCAGATCTCTATCCATGCAACATAATGAGCATGTGCAGCCCAGTATTCATATTTTATGGACAACAGAAGACTCTTTGGAAATGGCTGAATTGTGGAATAAATTCATACCATGCAATCTCACTCTAGCAGTGAAAAATGGGGCAACCTGAACATCCTTTGATAACTGCAAATATGTCTTTGCATTTGTATAAGCTCTGTGAATTATTCTGATTCTTTTCAGCAAAGGCTTTCTTTCTTATCTCCATGTGCTCCATGGGTGCTTTCTTATAACTTGTTTTAAAACTGCTGTGTGTTGCTAAGAAGTGGTCATCAGGTCCCTGATTGTTTTCCTTGAGTCTTTCTGATAGTCAGAACGATAAAAGCTGAGATAGGCTGATAAACTATGTCTTGGCCCTTTTGAAACAGACACACATGCACCCATTCATGAGGTACATTTTCATCTCTCAGTAAAACACAGTATTTCTCAGTATGCACAGACACACACTTGCTAGCTGTGTAAAGTGGCAAAGAACTGGACATGCTTAGCCATCCATCCTGTGCAAATCTGAGCCTACCGTAAGTGGGGGAAAACTCCTTTATGGTAATGGCAGTTGCCAACATTGCAGCATGTGTTTGCTACCATCTTTGCATTGCTCAGATATACTCTGGGCACTGAACATTCAGAATTTTTGGCGATGGTACAGGCACCTCAAACACCTCAAACTACACTCTTCTGTAAAACAGATCAAGGTTAGGGAAAATCTGAGAGACGGAGACCGGATGTGACAAAAACATATGCTTTGTTGAACCTTTTATCCCCATCCCTAGAAACGGTGCCATGTGAGGGGGTGTGGCTACACCTCTTAGATTCCGTCTCACCTACTGTCCTGGCATGGCAGGTCCCCACCCAGAAAGCCCTGCTGAGTACCTTGGTTCATGGGCTGCTCTTGTTTGCCACTATTCATGGCACAGGACTCGGAGATTCGGGGAAGCTGCTGTGGGCCTCCGAGGTGAGGGAGCTGACCGGTCTGGGTGAGAAAGTGATTGAGGGAGTCACAGAGGTTGGCAATGTGATGCTGATCTAGAGTCCAGTTCTTACGCTCAGCCTGGCGCAGACTCTCCATCAACTCTGCAGGGGCCAGAGAAAGAGAGAGGTAAGAAACTAGGCGTCACTATTCTCTACTCTGGCCAAAGAGATCCTTCTCTATATCTCTACTTCCCACTCTAAGCCTTTGAAGGGCCCCTTTCCCCCTCTACCAGAGTGAAGGGTGTAAGGGAATAACATAACATGACCCACCTGAGAACTGGGAGTGCTCAATGCTGGACCAGTTCAGCCGATTCACCATCTTGAAACTTTCTTTTAGGGAATCTATGTTGGAGCACCACTCAGGGGGAAATGCTGAAAAATGGGGGACACAAAATAGTCAACAGGGTGTACCCCCATACCTTATATTAGACACCAAATACATGCCTAATACATTTATCTCTAAAATCCTGAACTGAACAACCTACCTCCTCATGACAACGTAACTCGTCTCTGTACCCAGCCATTCCCCGTTTTATTCATTAATTCATTCAAAGCTTTCCAAGCTCCTTTTATCATCAATAATGGCTTACAAAAATTGAAGCTAATAAAATAATAGATATAAACACAAACACCCAGCAGTTAAAAGCAAAATTTAAAGCCATCTAGTCTAGGGAACCACCCACTAACAGTGCCTCAGTCTTATCTGGATTGAGTTTCGGTTTGTTGCCTCCCATCCTGTCCATTATCAAGGCAAGACACTGCTCTAGCACTTCCACTGCCTCACATTCAAATGTAAAGGAGAAATAGAGCCCAGTATCATCAGCATACTGCTGACAAGGTACTCCAAACCTGTGGATAACCACACATAGCGGTTTCATGTAGATGTTAAACAACATGGGGGATAGGAGTGAGCCATGCAGGACCCCACACTGAAGGTTCCACATGGCTGGAAAACATTCCCCAAGCAACACCCTCTGGGAATGACCATCCAAGTAGGACTGGAACCACCGCAAAGCGGTGCCACCCACACCTAGTTCGGACAGTTGCTCCAGGATACCATGGTTGATGGTATCGAAAGCCATTGAGAGGTCAAGAAGAATTAACAGGGACATGTTTCCAAAGCCGTTTCTGTGCCTAAACCCCAACTGAAATGGATCTGGAAAATCAGTTTCTTCCAAAAGTGCCTGGATATGGTCTGCGACCACTAGCTACAGAACCTTGCTCAGGAAAAGGAGATTAGCAACTGCTGTAGTGAGTTAGGTTTTCCAAATCCAGGGAATTTTTCTTCTGGGCTGCCACCCCGCCACCCCAAACTTCTGAGGGCAGTGGAACTAGCAAGAAGGCCCCACTGCTTATCTTAACACCTGAGAGGATCTGAAGGGAAGAAGATAGTTTCAGAAATTTGGGCTCATGTTGTTAAGGGCTTTAAACGCTAACGTAAGCACCCTGAATTGAACCCAGAAACTATCTGGCAACCAATGCAGCTGTTTTAAAACAGGGATTATATTGGAGTTCTAAATGGAACCCCAGCTGCATTTGGATCAATTGAAGTTTTCAAGTTGTATTCAAGGGCAGCCCTATGGAGAGTGAATTGCAACAATCCAGTCCATAAGTTACTGTGTACTGTGACCGTATCATCTCTGTCCAAAAGGGACTGGAGCTGGTGAACTAGCCTCAGCTAGATATAGGCACTCCTAGTCAAAACCACCTGAGCCTACAGTGATAGTGTTGGACCTTGGAGTAAACCCAAGGCCCAGTGCAGGGTACAATCAAGAGAGCTGCAGTCAGTTCTGACTTCCTGCACAATGCAGGCCTGCACAAGTGTGTTTTTCCACATTCACACTTGACTATCTTTGGTGCACAGCTAAAAATGTAAACTGTGATGTGGCCCTTCATGATTTGCTCAGAAGGAACGTGCCAAAAGCTCCTCAACTCCAAACTTTCAGCCTTGCCTAGTCCATCTGTCCTTCATTCATTGAATATTTCTGTCAGTTTGCCCACTCTGTAACTCACCAAAGCTAGCATTATTCATGGAAGCTTGTGATTGCTGCTGTTGCTGTTGTTGTTGCTGCTGCTGCTGCTGCTGCTGTGAATGGGAGTGCGGGTGGTGGTGCTGATGCTGGTGATATCCTCCATGCTGCATTGAAGAGGGGTGAATGGACATCACAGGTGGGGGGCCATAGCTGTCACCTCCTTGCTGCTTGCCACCCTGGGATGGACAGCCTTCTGAGGTTGGAGTGTGGAGGGGGGGTGCAGCTCCCACCGAGGAGGGCACCTGCTGCTGGTGGTACATGTAGTAATTGTGGTTGGAGGGCTGCATGTCTCCCAGGAGGGAAGAGAAATCTGAAGGGAGGATTAAGAGGAAAGTATTAAAATGGGTGGCGGGCCCTTTTTAGCCTGGAGGGCCACATTCACCTGTGCCCAGCCCTCCAGGGGCCACTATGGCCACCCACTCTCTTATCAGGTACATGCACTTATGCATACACACACAAGACACACACAGGCATATTATGGCCCTCCTTCTGATGACTGGCAGAGGGGGCAGTGAACACCTCTATCTGGGAACTGGGCTCTGCCCACCCCACGTTTTTTAATCCCTATCTCACCATTTTGCTACGGCTGCCAACATTGGCAAGGTCTTGGACAGCCAGAAAAAACTGTGTGTGCATGGGAGGGGCAAATCACGCCCTTGAACTGAGGTTAACCACTCCTGCATTAAAATACACAAAGGTAGCAGAAACATCAGTTCTATACCTTTCCTAGAAATGAGGCGAGTACCCCAAATATTATAAAACAAGCCATTAGCACTTCAGTGACCACATTTCTAGCAATGTTCACTAAACAGCAGCTTAGGTCCAGAATTTTTCACCCCTTTTCTACGCGAATAACACAAAAGACAAGATTAGCTTCATGAGATGCTGCCCCCCAGTGGCTGTAACTGATTAACAGAATGCAAAGTACTCTGGAGTAGGCCTGGGCGATATATTGATATATCGCCCAGGACTGTTATGAGGGGCAGACCGCAATGATGGCTTCACTCAGTGGTATATTGTGGGTGACACTGCTGCTTCCAGAGACCTCTGCTACCAGCACCCAGCACGCCAAGGGAGCAACAAGCTGCAGTGGGGCTGCTCACCCGCCCCGCCCCCCACATGAGCGAAGGCAGAGGGAGTCCTGCAAATGGAGTCCTGTCAGGCTCCGTCACAGGGCTCACTCTGTCTTGGGGAGTCATGGGGCTCGCTCAGCTGGAGCCTTCCTGCCCCTCAGCTGAGCAGCAGGCTGGGGCCAGCTGCCACTGGCCCTAGGGTGAAAGTGTCTCAGCTCCCGCGGTGACAGCTGTGGCAGTTTCACCCAGTGCCTCGCAGGCTGGGGCAACTGCAGCTAGTTTCAGCATCGCCAAACCACAATGTTTGGCTGGTGATACACCACAATGTGGATCGCCCAACCCTACTCTGGAGTTGGGAAACAAGTACCATATTTCACCAAATGATCATCGCACCCTGCTTTTTCAGTCCAAAAACCAGGTTACCTTTCATTGCATGGTATAATTCTGTTTGTCCTGCCACTTAAACAGAGCAGCAATGTATTCACCAGTGGGATATGGATACACATTTTTCTCTTGCACATTGTGCATTGCAAGCCACAAGCTTAGCATTCTCAGTGCACATGTCAGTATACTATACTGCATTTCCATAGGTGCAAGTGAAGTGTGCAGACGGGCATAGCTGCCTTGAGTGAGGCACATGATATGATAAGACCTGCATCTTCCTGTGATAGCTTAGTGATAATAAAATTTAGTAATAATAAGATTATTGCTTCACATAATGGTTGCACTCCACTTTGGGGCAAAAAAAGGCATAAAATCTGTGGCAATTATACGGGGAATTACGGTAATCTTTCTCTGCAACCTATTTCTAGCTATTGATCTTTACCCTTTCCCTACAGCATAGGCATGTTCCTAACCCAAGAGGTCAGCTAAAAACACTCAAACCATTATTGAGCATATAGTTCTGTAGCAATTTTTAATTCAGTATGCATTCTACAAAAAAGGAGGTTTCATTGAAAAAGGGATATAGGATTTCTCTAGAGCAGGCCAACTTCTTCAGTTGAGAAGGGCTCTTAAAGTGTAGGGGCCTCATTCTAGCCTCAACATCAGGAAGAACTTTCTGACAGTAAGAGCTGTTTGGAAGTGGAAGGGACTCCCCTGGGAGGTGGTGGACTCTCCTTCCTTGTAAGTTTTTAAGCAGAGGTTGGATGGCCATCTGTCATGGATGCTTTAGCTGAGATTCCTGCATTGAAGGGGTTGGACTAGATGACTCCCAAGGGTCCCTTTTTTAAGCCGACAATTCTATGATTCTAAGATGATTATCTGGGGTGCAGACACCTCTCCCTCCCTCCCAACCCCCCAATCATACCTGGCACTGTTACTCACCATGCTGGGATGAGGAGGATTTCTCAAGCATGGATTTATAGAGATTTCGGAAGGACCAGCTCAGGTCCTGGAAGTTGATCTCAGAATAGGAGAATTTCAAGTCGTTGCTGTTACTGTAATGTGGAGGTGGCACATCTGGACCTTCACGGCTCTGACCGCCAGCCACTGTTGCTGCCACATCCACAGGCCCTGTGCTCTGCTGAAGATAAACAGGTGTATTAAATAGAATTCTAGCCTTTTGAAACCAGGGATTGTATATGTACAATTCCCCCATTTTCAGAGCTATTAGCTCTGGCCCACATCCAAGGCATGCCACTGGGCCGCAGCTCATGTCCCCTTCCCTTCATCATCCATGTCCTTTTTTACTTTTCAATAGCCTTCTCCCATTTTCTTCCTCCCTCCTCCCAGCTCCCCCTCAGCAGCCGCCTTTTCCCGCTGCTTCTCCCTCTTCTTACCCTCGACTCACCTGACTGTAATTGCCAATAGGCGGTGTGCTTTGCAAGGATAGCTGCTGGGTGGATTCGGGGGACAGCGATGATTCTGCCCCAACAGAAACAGGCCCCCGGGGGCTCTTGCTTGCCTCTTGCTCTGGGGAATCCTGGGACAGCTGAACAGATGGAAAATATGCGCATAAGAAACACATGGGCAGAGAAGTAAAACTGCAGAGAAACAACTCACTCTAGGGTCGACAGAAAATTGATAGGACTAGATAGGGGCAAGTATGGCAGTCAAGGGGAGCGTCACCTGCCACGCAATGTGCTAGAGCAGGAGGGAAATTAAAACTCCATGTCTAGTGGTTAAACAACGGACTCACATGCAGTGAGCCAATTTAAGATCACCAGCCAAGACATAACTATTGAACGAACCTCAGAAACCTCTTGTGAAATAAACACATGAACTTTCCAATTAAATAAATTTTATGTGATTAGTTATAAGTTTTAATTGATTAATTAACTGATCTATCAATTAAATCTGCATATGGGTTAAAAAAGTGTTTCTACAGCACAAAGCACTTTCTTTGTTTTTAGATGAGGCGTGTATGTGTTGTAATAGGCATTTCTGTGCATTGTGGCACCCGTCACGGTCCTCCATGCACCAGTAGAGGTTTAGTCGTGCTGGCCAGATGACCCAGAAAGCTGTCTGCAGGCAAACACCACTCCCTCAACCTGAAAAGTGAGATGAGTGCCACACCCCATAGTCGTCTTTCAATGGACTTAACTGTCCAGTGTCCTTTACCTTTTAACAGGCATCATCTTAGAAGAGGCATCCCCCACACCCACTGAACGCAAAAAAAGATGGAATGCTTCTTTTAAGCACTTGTACTAAAAATAATATTTATAAAAAATAAATTGCTGTACAATTAATTGCAGCATCTTTTTGGGTGATTAAAAGTTTTTTAATTAATTAATTTAACCCTTTAATTTAATGTATTATTGCATATTTACTCTAGAGCCAGTCTCACTCTGTTTAGTGGGGTTTACTCCAAGGCATGTGTGCACAAGAATGCAAGCAAAACATTGCAGCCCTACCGAATGATTTAATAAATCTATGCTGTTTTTGGAGCAATATAGCTAATACAGTTATTAATCATTAGGTTAATAATTTAAAAGAACAAAATTAAAGTCATTTAAATTAAGCACATGTGTATAATTTATTATGTATTTTGCTAATTAAATAATAATAATTCTGATTCTGCTAATAATGGAGCAGGCTGAGGAAGAAAGGGCAAAGGGGGCAAGGCGTTGAAGCCTTTCCCTCCTTTGGCTGCTGCAAATCTTATGCAATTCTTCTCTATTTCCAAATCTCAGCAGACATTGCTCATGCACTGACAAACATTGCTTCAAGCCCATAAAGGCTACAAACTTGCTTTTAAAAAAACATGAAAGTGAAGGCTCGCAGAAGCCTGAGTTTTATGACCAATGCATTACTTCTGTGCCATGTAGGATCATGCCCTTTGGAAAAAGTGGATCTCGTAATCATCTCACAAATGCTTTGGATTTTGAGGGTAGGAATGGGGAGCCACACTCACATCGTCATCTGGTGGGTGACGCCTCTTCCGGGAAATATCAGGACAGGTATCTATGGTCCAGTAAGAACCCTGCAAAGAATAAGATCTACTGGTGAAAGGAGTATAAAACCAACCCTTGATATCAGCGATAGCAACAGCAGCAGTGCAACCCATAATACCAAAGAGCATGCAGGTTGCCACAGCTTATCAATTACTCTTGCAGCACAAGACAGGTCCTTTCTTTACATTGCAACATCATTGCAACATCATCCTTGATACTTTTTTGTGATGTCACAATCCCAATACTCCTTCAGTCTCCAATAAACTCTTGGGAAGAACAGGTTGGACAAGAACAGCAATTCTGATGTAAAAGTATGAAAAAGAATGACCAGGGCAGAAATGCAGTAAAATCTAAAAAAAGTGATGTTTTGCTCCTGCTGCAGGATAGTTCTGGGGTCATGCACACGCATATTACAGTATGGGATACAAAGGCCCACTGCTGTCTCTTAGCTTTCCCAAATGTGCACATACCGAAGAAGTCAGAGCTATTTCATCCACAGTAGAGTTTATTACTTATTACTATTAATATTACTATTACTGAGAGATACAGAAGAACAAAACCTGAATGTTCTTTCCTTGCTTCTTCAGCAGAGCAGTAAATACCTATGCCCTATTTTTACACAAACCTTTGCTCTAGCCTGGAGTAGGAGCAGCAGAATTTTCAACTTGCCTGCATATTTTATGTCCTCACTTAATCTGTTCATTCACATTAGTCCAATTTCTGCCAAGAGCAGGAGTGAGGGTTTAGAAGTCAATGCAACATTGGTTAAAAAAAACACCTCCCCACCATGATGGTCAAATGTCTAGCTTGATCCCTCTCACCTTTCCAGGGTCGTCCCGAGGGCGAGGCACTTTTCGAAAGCATTTATTCAGAGACAGATTGTGACGAATGGAGTTCTAGGGAGGAAAAAATGACATAGCTAACAGGCAGGCTGCTCACCCATGCCCTTATCACCTCCCTAGCCCAAATACTGCTGCTTTCCCCTCAGCCAGAGTTCCCAGGCACAGCTATGGTGGTGGTTGTTGTTTTGCCACATCGAGAGGGGGAAGCAGGAGATGGCGTACTGGGTGGGATGGGAAGGATGTGGCAGGCAAGAACAGTGAGGGTTAAGCAGCCTCTTTCCACCTACCACAGCTGCCCTGGAAGTCATCCCACCTGTGGTATTTTGGAGAAGCAGCAGCCAAGCTTCCAACCCCAAAGAGCAGTTCCAATCTCCCCACCAGGATGCAGATTTGCATCTCTTACCTACACAATGGGAAATCCTGAACAGAGAAAAGGCAAGGTCTTCTCTTAGAACCAATGTTCTACTCCAGGGATGGGGAACCGTAGGCCCAGAAGAGGGAGGCATATGTGATTGAAGAAACCCTTAGATTTTGTGTTCCTAGCAAGTAGCCTGCTGTGCATTTCTCTGCCCAATTCTTCCTCTGGCCCTGCACATCCCTGGCAAGTGGCCTCTAGAAGGTCCCCCAGGAAGGAACTGAGTAAAGTGCAGAAAGTTCCCCCACCACAGCTCCTCAGACAAAAGTTACAGCACAGACTGCCTCACCAAACCCCGAAAAGCTAAATTTCTCCTTTACTCTGCAGGAAGAATTAAGGCTGCATGAAACACATGTGACTAATCTGCAGCACATAGTGGTAGTTATGGCGTGTACCTCCACCTACCTCTAGCATGGTGAAATGCCATGGACTGCATATTTGCTATGGCCAATCGCATGCTCTGATTTAGCCTGTGGCACAAGCCCCAAGAAGGCTGGCTACCACTGGCACAGAAGAGAGCCTCTGACTCGAAATAGGAATCTGTAGCTCATATTCCACCAAGCCTCCTAAGTGGAGATTATTATTACCCTCTTTATCTGCATTGAACTAGAAACTATATTTATATATGTACTTATTGCTGATGTTTTTACTGTTGACTGCTTCAGGATGTTTCATGGGAAGAAATTAATAAATGAAATCAATGTTATCTATTTTAAAGATACAGAATGGACTTCAAGTGTATAGAAGAGGCATGGAGAAGCTGAAGACTGAAACACTCATATGGGAAAGTTTCACCTCCCCTCTGGTCAAAATTTAGAATGTAAGTACCTTGAGGCGGAGATTTGTTTTTGTGTTACATTCAGTCTGTAAAACACCATGCACATTCATGGCGTGATCATACAATATAACGTTAAATGGGAATGGATTTTCATAGGAGCAGAAGCTGGAACTTCTGCCCCTATGAATGAACTTCTGAGAATGCCCAAGTCTACTTACCTTCCACCCAATGCCAGCATTCTTATAGTAGGGAAAGTTGTCACAAATCCAGCGATAGATCTCACTGAGGGTCATCTTCTTGGCCGGGGATGAATTGATAGCGTAAGTGATCAGAGTGGCATAGCTGTAGCGCGGCTTCCCATCCTGATGGACTGCAGCATCGTCTTTGCTCAAGGTGGCATTGGGGTCAGTGGGGGAGCCAGGAGAGCACTTCCGACCGGCCCCTGGGGGACCCGACTGGGAGGCACCCCCTAATTTCTCAATAGTGGCTCGCAGAGTGAGTTGTGGGAGCCAATCAATGGAAGTGAGGCTGCTTTCCAGATCAGAGGCCATGATGCTGGAGGCAAAAGTGTCTACTGTGGAGAAAGAAAGAGATACAGATAGATGGGGCTGTTGAAATATGATCACATTATATGTTTTTTTTTCTCCTACAAGGAAAAAAACCTCAGTATGGCCAAACAAAAGCTGCATCACCAACAGCTCAGTTTCCAAAGCCACAGACATTACTGCATTTGCTTGGTTATGTGTAAGAACTACTGTATATAGGTCAGGAACGAAGATGACAACTTTCTGAGCCAGACTTAAGAGAAGTTAGAACAGGCTTGTATAAAAGTCACTCTTTTCCTTACCTATGGAGAGTAAGCTTCCTCTCCAGGCAACAAGAAAGGGAAGTGCTAAAGAAGTTGAACCACAAATTATTGCAACATGCAGGTGAGCACAGGTAAGCTCATAGAAGTTTGTGTGGGTTAGTTACAATGCATCATAGTCACTTGCCCATATTTGGACATTTAAATTGCATTTCTCAGTGATGTTCTGGATACAGGCGGCAACCATTTTACATGGGGGTTCCGTTCCTGGCCCCCACGTGCATCAGTGCAGAACACATAAGCCCACCCCACCCCATTAAACCACTGCCCCCATTCCACCCTCTTTTGGGTCCAAAAGGACCCATGCGTCAACTGGACATGCAAAATGGTCACTGCCTGTAAGTATTGTTTTGTTCTGATGCATATTCATGACTGCTTTGTTTTACAATTAAAAAGAAGGGGGGAAATACCCCCACCACTCTTATTACAGTGCTTCTGACATGAGAGGAGTGAAATATGCCTTGAAAGGTTAAGCCACCATGTTGAGTGCACAAGTCCCATGAAATGAGCAGCAGCTACACAAGAGCATTGCCTGCTAGATTCTACCTCATGAGCTGCATCTGTCTGGCTCTCATTCTTTTGCCCTTAGTGTTAAATAAAATATACTGCTTGAGGCACGGATAGCACTCGCCCAAAGATTCTGAGATCAACTCTGCAACCTGTGCTATTACCCAGCTAATTTGGGGTAAGGGCACCTCGATGGAAGAAAAGGGATAGCTCTGTAACAACACTTCAGTACAGAACTTTCATATACATTTAAAAGGCTGGCAACTAACAAGCTCAGCTAACAGATTAATTAATAAGCAGACAAGTAGTGGCTGAATGACCACCTGAAGGGGAAGGTTTAGTTTCCCTTGCAGGTTATTTCTCTTGTGAGCAGTCCAGCTGAGGCAAGGAAACACCCATCAGCGAATGAACGTAACAATTAGTTGTTTCTTTTTTAAAAAACCAGGTATTTTAGGATGACAGGGAGCAGTTGCCCCAATCCAAACATGTATGCACTCAATGTATTCTACACCACTACTTTCACAACACAAAATGAGCCTATCTGGTCTTTAAGGACTTACACAAGTGTTCAACAGTACTTGTTTCAATACGCTCTCAAACGTGTATGCATCTGCTAGCTTAGACCCGCTTGTCACACTCATAACCTTTAACGGTATTTCACATATGTTTTATCAGTCTTTACAACAACCTTAGAATGGTGGGCTGGTGCTACTGCCTCTGTGTTAGGGGTATATATAGTGAAAACACTGGTCAATTTGACAGTACAGTGGTACCTTGGGTTAAGAACTTAATTCATTCTGGAGGTCCGTTCTTAACCTGAAACTGTTCTTAACCTGAAGCACCACTTTAGCTAATGGGGCCTCCCGCTCCCACTGCACGATTTCTGTTCTCTCTTTTTTAAAAAAAAAAAATATTTATTAAGATTTGAAAGGTTACAAAAAGAAAAAATAGAAAACAGCATACTAAGCAAAAACAGAACATCACATCACAATAAAGAAAAGAAAAAAGAAAAGAAATACAATGAATCTTCCCATAACTTATCTTTCATTTGCTTGTTTCCTTGACCTCCTCACACCTCCCTTTTTTTGTATTCTAGTTCAATTAGCTATTTCAGCAAGTCCTTTCCATCTTTTCCAGTTTTTGTCCTCTATTTTATCTTAATATAATGTAACTTTACTTTCCCTCCTTTCACCATTTAACAATCTGTTCTTTCTAAATCCTTTACAGCATTTCTGCTAAAACCACATTACTTCATTCCAACATCCTTCTAATATTCCTTAATTTTACAATGTTTCTGTAAGTAAACTTTAAATTTCTTCCAATCTTCTTCCACCAACTCTTCTCCCTGGTCTAGGATTCTGCCAGTCATTTCCGCCAGTTCCATGTAGTCCATCAGATTTCTGTTCTCATCCTTAAGCAAAGTTCTTAACCCAAGGTACTATTTCTGGGTTAGCGGAGTCTGTAACCTGAAGCGTCTGTAACCCAAGGTACCACTGTACAATGATGTATGAATACCACTGGGCAATCATTATGTATACCCCTTGAGCCATATCAGCAGTGAAGTAATTTACTATAGGATTAAAAGGTTTATGATGATTTACCAAATCATAATTTCAATGGTGCCAAGTTCTAAAATGGTCTAGTGGGGCTCAAGTCCATCACCCCTAATTCCCCTGTCAGAGGCAAATGCCAATTTTAAAACATATTCAGGTTAATATCAATCCAAGCCTATTGATATCAGCAATGCTATCTCATTAAGCTAAATATAATCGCTTTCCAACAAATTATTGTAATAATACTAATTCCCCATAAAAGAGCCAAGGACATTCTTGATTCTTCCAGGATCTAGAAGCAGTTTTAGCTTTCAATGTTGGAGTATTCCTCCTCTAAGTCAGAGAAGCTGTTTCGGAAGGACTGAAAGTGAAGAGCAGAGAAAGCAATTGATAGCCCTTGCAACCAAAGAAAGAGGTAACCCTTACCCCACAAATGAGATTACATACGTATGACAAGATTTGAGGGGAATCTTTTGCCTTCTACCACATTCTGTGGTTTTTCTACATTTACATGGATTTTAGCATATATACAACCCTGTTCACAAGGCAATTTGTGTGGCTCAGAAAGGCAATGGGGGAAAAAAATAAATATGCCGCTACCTTTCAGCATGAAACAACTAACATATTTCAATGTAAGTGACTAACATGTGTGACCTTAGGGTGAAAACTGAATCCGGCCCCTAGTCTCAGATTCCCTGCACTGTGAATTCCACTGATTGGTAGAAGGTGGTATTCTGCTTGTCCTGCTCTTCTGCTAAATTCTTTCATCCTTGCCTCATCCTGCCATGGCAAGCCATGCCTCTGAATTCACATAACAGGGTTTGAGAAGCTTTTCACATGCAGTGATGAAAGCATTAAGGTTATAAGCAGGACAGACAGACAGGTGCAAAACAGTAGCTGGGGTGGCAGAGCCCATTCAAAATGATGGCTTTGAGGGGAGTAAATTACCTACTCCACCCAACAGGCCACACACTTGGATGACCTGAACGAAGTACAAACTACACCTGAGTTACTATAGACCAGGGATTTTCAAATTCTAATGTGTGGGGAATGAAAAACTTGTGTTGTTGCTATAGTTAAAAAATTGGGAGTCAGAAATCCTTGCTCATCTACTGCAAATCATCCAGCCATCATTCAAGAAGCCATTGATATATCCTGATCTACCTCCTGCCCACCCCAACTCTGAAGGATTTTTATAAAAACCATTGATCAAGAAGCAAGCAGTGTAGCAGTTCCAAGTACCAGATAGCTTTATCTTTTTAAAGAAAAAAATTCTTCTCATCTTCATGAAAAATTGGGTATAAGACTGAACGTTACCTTGAAACACATTGTTCCAGGTGGATGATAAAAACAAGACTCATCTCTCAACAAGATGCATCAAGTTACACTTGCTTTTTATTGTTATAACCTGCCCTGGGACCTTATGGTGAAAGGTGGGTAAGCAATCTAATAAATCAATCAAACAAGCCCTTACAAAATGTTATATTTTGTAAGTGAGTCAATTAACCAAATATCTGTGTAACAACAGTTTGGCAGCTCTACACATTTTACCCACTATCTTTAACTTAATCCCAAATCTTCTTTCTTAACTGCATTTTCTAATAGTTATTGGGTCATACAGTAGCTTGTCATCTCTTCAATTTTTACAAATATATATACATACTAAAAATATAATATTTGACAAGGAAAATAACGATGGCGTCTAAACAAGGTGAATTTAAAAGCGAGAAGGGGGGAACACATGGGATAAAGGACAAGCATCATATCTCACAAGTAGTGAAGACTTTTAAAATTGGAAATGCATGGATATATGGTTAGGAAGGGGGTTGTCCTACCAATGCTATTTATGAAGTGGAAAGAGGAAATAACATTTTTCTTGTCCTTTACCATTATCCAGAAACCTTGCTGCATGCACTATAGTGGAATCAGATGCTCAGGTTCAGGGCTGGAAGGCAAGCAGCAGCCACAAACCTCAGCCCTTTCCAGAATAGGCGGGGAAATTTTTTAAAGAGTGGGAAAGAAAAAAAATGTTGTCTCTTTTCCTATTCTGTTCCTGAAAACTCCCCTACTTCTGAAAATTCTAACAGCACTACAAGGCTGGCTGGCTGGCTGGCTGGCAGCTTGAACTGCAGCACAGTTGGAGGCTGAGAATAGACTGAAACATTGTTTCCTATTTTTTACCCTTTTTTCCCTCCAATATTGGGCACTTCCACACTTCTCAGTGTGGAAATGAAATGGAATTACCCAAAATCATGGTAGTACAGTGGTACCTCAGGTTACATACGCTTCAGGTTACATACGCTTCAGGTTACAGACTCCGCTAACCCAGAAATAGTGCTTCAGGTTAAGAACTTTGCTTCAGGATGAGAACAGAAATTGTGCATCGGCGGCATGGCGGCAGCAGGAGGTCCCATTAGCTAAAGTGGTGCTTCAGGTTAAGAACAGTTTCAGGTTAAGAATGGACCTCTGGAACGAATTAAGTGCTTAACCCGAGGTACCACTGTACTTGCTACATAAGGGGGATTTCCTAGGTAAATTAAGAGAAAACTATTTGTAAAATGTACCAACATCCTGTGAACTTCTAGGAAACTGAGAGTGCAAGTCTTTTTCTTTTTTTTTAAAATGGTACAAGAGGTTATAAGTGCTTGAGCAGGCCAATTGCATCTAACAGTGAGAATACTATAGGTGGGGATTTAGGTCAGGGTGGGGGAGAGATAAAGTTCAAACTCTCTTTTTACAAACACTGATCTCACTGGAAAAAGACTAGAAAAACACCACATAAATATCTGAGGAAAAGAACTGGTCTCCGGGTGGGAATGCCTTAACAAGGGGATGAATGAAAGGGTCCCTATCTGTTCACAGCAATGGCAAATTAAAACACTAGTCAAGTGTTCAAAAGTTAGAGCCATAATTAGAGCAACACTTACAATAAAAATCTTCACTCCAGAGCAGTGTTTCCCAACCTGTAGGTTATAACCCACAAGTGAGTCACAGGCTCTGTAAGTTTTCACAAAATAATTATTACTTTTATCCCTCTTAACCAGTACAAGGAACACCTCTTACAACATTTTGCTGGCATTTTATAGTGCTGCGTTGGCACTTATAACGGAACAGCGGAAAGGCTAAAGTCTTACATTTTAACACTTGGGAACTACTCTATTGTGACAGATCCAGCAACAGTTTGCCACAAAGGTGTTCTAAGCAGCCTGCGCATCAGAGGCAAGCTGTAATAGTCACTCACAACAACCCTTTGTACAAGCACCTTGTGGTGAACGACCGCTGGATCTGCTTCCAGGGTTAGTTACTTGTTAAGTCAAAGGGGATTTGAAGTTTGCTTTGTCAAAATTTGGCCACTATAATTCTGCAGAAATAACACCAGAAATCTGAGTGATGTCACTCAAAGTTGCCTTTATCTGTGCAAAAAGAAAAACAACACACTGGACTGTTGTGTGACAGGACCCTCAAACGTAAATTATCGGAACTGAAGTTATGAAAATTTTGGCTTCGTGTTACCAAAATTACTCAGTTACCACTGAGTATCCTGAGCTTCCTGATGAAGCAATATCTGTGTTGCTGCCATTTGGTAGTACATGCAAGACAGGTTTTTCAGCAATGACTGCTATGGGGACAAAAAAAGTAGCAAGCGATGTATCAATAAAGATTTGAGGCTATGTCTAACAACTAACAAACTCTGCACTGACTTGCTCATTGGCAAAATTCAATTCTAACATCCCACTTATAAATTGACTTTATCATGAATAAAACTATTAAAAATATTCATTTGTTTGTTATCTCCAACACCGATTTTGTAACCGTATGTTTTTAGAGCAATTTTAATAGTTTATGAAGCAATACCCTGCAATCCTATGATTAGTGTTCTTACATTCCCATTTTTTTAAAAAAAAAAATTGTGAGTAACTTTGTAAGTACTATACATATTTCAACAAATTCCACATGAATAGGCGCATTAAGGAAATTTTTGCTTGGATGCCTTGAGCAATGGTTATAGAATACGCAAAGCTGAAGTTAAACTGCACGAAACCAACAGTTGCCATAAGGTTCAGAGTTTATGTGACAATAAATTGATGGGTCACCATTATCAAGTAAATTTGGACTTGTGGTTCACCATATCAAAAAGTTTGGGAACCACTGCTCCAGAGCACTATGTGCCAGGTTGTATTTGACTATAGAGCACAACAGGAGGCATGAGGGTGAGGGGAAAGATATACACTAATAAATAACAACAATAATAATAACTAACAGGTAACTACTACTAGACAAATAACAATAATAAATACAGTGGAACCTCGGGTTAAGAACTTAATTCGTTCTGGAGGTCCGTTCTTAACCTGAAACTGTTCTTAACCTGAAGCACCACTTTAGCTAATGGCGCCTCCCGCTGCCTCCGCACGATTTCTGTTCTCATCCTGAAGCAAAGTTCTTAACCCAAGGTACTATTTCTGGGTTAGTGGAGTCTGTAACCTGAAGTGTCTGTAACCTGAAGCATCTGTAACCCGAGGTACCACTGTAACAGGTAACTACTACTAGAGTCTGATAAGCCAGGAAAGTCTAGATACTATCAGAACACACATATGATCCACTGGATCCCATGTCATGCCTTTTTTAAAAAAAGCTGACAAGCCTAACTAACTGTGAACTACATCCTGCTTCAAATTTCTATCCACCTCTTTAAGGATTACAACCCATAAATCCCTAAACATTAACTGTCATTCCTGCAGATACCTTCAAATGACAGTCAAGGTATTACAGCACACAGCAATACAAAGGACTTCCTGTATGTTTATGAACTGCCTGCACTTTCCCTCATATTCTCAGACAGAGAAATGGGGGAGAAAATCTTCTGCAGATGGGCAGCATGCCATTCACATTCAGAACCCATGGTGGCTTTGTACAGATCTCCCTTCTGTACCAAATTCCAGGCCAAAACTAAAGTTTCTGACCTTATATATGCGGAAACGGGCCAACCCACACTGTTGTATGTTCTAAACTCTGCTGGTCAAGGGGGTGTAAACCTGCACTGATCAGCATTTCTATCATCACCTTGGATCTAATGAAGAACCCTGCATGAAGGAACCAAAGAAGATGAAGACTCAGGCTTGTACCATTGTCACGCACCATAATCAGTTAGGTCATACAACATTTTCTCCCACCCTCAAAACCAACTAGATATCTATGGAGCAGCATCAGAAATTCCCTAGGTGCCAGGTGCATTTTGCAACTGGCACAGATGCCAGATGGGCGACTGACATCTCCATCTGGCTGGCCAGTCTAGCTTTCTTAAGCAGGTAAGCAGAAGAGCTTATTTAATGCATTTATAGCCCACTTTTTTTCTCCATGGAGTACATGGTTCATCCCCCCCCTTCAGTTAATCCCTACAACAACCCTGTGAGGTAGGTTAAGAGGCTGTGCCTGGCCCAAGGTCACCTAGTGAACTTCATGACTGAGTGGGGATTTGAACCCTGATCTCCCAGGGCCTAGTCCAACATTCTAACCACTACACCACACTGGCTTCCTAGAGTACTTCTGCTATGGGGCATCTCTATAAATTAAGTAGGTAAATATGGGGAAAGCAGAATGTCACTTCAAGAAGTCTGTAATATTTTCGTTGAAACTTGAATTTGATTTATTCTGGATTGTTTTATTTGATGTTTTAATGTGTTGTGAACCACTCTGAGATTTTTTATTTAAAATATAAAGCAGTATAGAAATGAAATTATTAATAATTACTAACAACAACAACTTTCAGTGGAAAAAATGGTGCCTATACATTTTGTTGTGGTGACCATAACCTGGGTTTAAGATGCTATTTGGCAATTAACTTATACAGTGGTACCTCTGGATACACACACCTCCAGCTGTGTATCCTTCAGGATGCGAATGTGGCAAAACCAGAAGTATTTTTTCTGGGTTTCGCCACGCACACATGCACAGAAGCAGTCCCTCCGGTTGCGGAAACTTCGGGATCCGACCAGAGCTCCGGAACGGATCCTGTCTGCAACCGGAGGTACCACTGTAAATCTGAGTTTCTAACACTGCGACAGAGGAAACTTTTATTAATTACTATTTTATTTTATTACACTCATTTTAAAGTTTGCTTGATATTGGTTTTACTATTATGTACAAAATGAATAATTTGTACTCAAAACTAGAGTAAGTTACATTTTGTTGTTAAGTAACTTTGAATAACCTTTGAAAAAGTGTGATATAAAAAGTTAAAAGCGTATTTTTAAAATGGAAAGCTTAGGCCTCAGTTACATTAGCAGATCACACATATCTGCACAAGCTTGCGACAAACCTTAACTTCTGAATAGAAAGGTACAATGAATGAGAGTTCAATCCTGCTTGTGTCAGGAAGTGGCATCTGACTGTGAAGCCCCAAATTCCAGGTACCGGTATGTAGGTTCTGGTTGTGGCTACTCATGGTGACAGAGTAGGCTCTGACCCAGCCCAAAAGCACTCTTCTGTATTATTCATTCACATATTTGAGATATTAAGATGTTGTTTTCAAACCCTCTAGGCAGAAGGCAAGAGGACCACTGACCTAAAGGACTTACAAATTTAATGAAACTAGACAAAATTCAATTAAAAATGGATTTCAAGCATCCACCTATATAAACTGGAAGAACTTTCACAAGAGGCAGAGGTAATCACAAACAGATTTCAAAGTAACAATATTCAGATTTTCAAATTGTTTTTCAATTCTAAAGACCATTATTCTGATCCCTCTGCCTTAGACACATTACTTTTTAAAAACCCTAATTAAATAAACATGCAAAGAACCAGCATCATCTCCAATTATCTTTCATTATTGCTTAGGCAATTTCACCTATAACCATTATTTTACAATAAGCCTTTTTAGACTTTTGGGCCATTATCCTAAACAGACTTGTTTTTCTTTTGAATTAACATGCATAGATTATGGAATTAAAACTCAAAATCCTTGCTAAACATCGTTAACTTGCAAGTTCACAATTCTCAGTGCTATGTAAGAGATGCCAGAGGAAGTAGATTGCTTACTCTGACATATCAAGAAGATGAATCTAGGTAACTTATAATTAATTTTCTCAGATCTATAAACTGATATTTGGGGGGGGATTCCTGATTTTCAAGTTGTGGGACATTAATTAAAGTTATGAAGAAGTACACTGTGAGATGGTCCAAGCTTCTTCCTCACATTCCTTTTCCCACCTTTTGCTTACATACCCGGGTCACAACAATTGAACCACTCCACCAAAATACAAGCTGGAGGCATTGATCAGGTAACTGTCCCCCCTGATTTTCCATTCCTCACAGCCAAATTTTATAATAGACAAATTATTATTTTATTTGCAGTGAACTATTTAGATGCCATATATTGGGCGTTTTAACTCTCCAGAAAAATCTACCTGTCCAACTGGGATGCTCTGTGAAAGTTTAAATGTAGGGCTGTTACTCAGCTAAAGAAATCTGAGTCCATTAACTTCATGTGTTTTAGCTCATTAATGACATCTGCATAAAATCTGCACACATGAAAAAGCAGTAGTTCTAAAGAAAAAAAGCATGTTACAGCCTGCCTTGAAAAGTGGTTGCCTCTCTTACAGAGAGAGGTTGGATAGCCCCCTATCAAGGATGCTGTAGCCATATATTTCCTGAAGCAGGGATTAGGGCTAGATGTCTTCTGAGGTCCCTTCTGACATACCTTCTGTTTTCAGATGATGCAATTGCCTATGTCACAGCAAGTGTCATCTAAAAAAGGCATCCCCCCTTCACATAGAAAGGAATACCTTTTTGTCATGTGGACTTTTTAAAATAATTACTTGAACCAAAAACAATCAATCTGTTCCTAAAACCCACTCCCTATTAAGCAGAGGAATTATGTTCATTTATCAAAATGCTTTCCATTGATTAATCTATTAGTCAATTAAAATACTGCAGGTTAAAAAAAAATGAGGCATGGGCAATTAATTTTAAACGATTGGGCAGTTTTGAATTTACATCGATTACATTCAGAAGAATCCCATAACTCCTCCTCTGAATATTTTTACTGGGAATACTCTAACAGTAATTACAACAAGGAATCTTTTGAATTTAAGATTGCTTTTCAACTGATTTAATCCCAAAGTGGATGGAGATGTCAGAGGTACACCTTAAGTCAGTATTCCTATTTTTTCCTCAAAGTGATCACTGTCAATGGAATCTATAAAAAGCACTATCTGAAGTGGTCACCCTGTAGGCTTCTATTTCCTACCAGGAGCAGCTGCAGTGTGTAACTTGCTCTACTACGCACTGCTGCCAAAAGGATTCCACGACCTGAGATTTAACTCTCCCATCCCAGGACATGGGCACCAAAATTTGTCTGTAATACTCAGTAAAGTAGGAAGATCAAATCAAGGACGGCACTAGTGGAATGAATGCAAGGCCTTCAAATGCACTTGATTTCACATACTGCAGATGGATTTCTCAGTCCAAATCCAGATCATACCCTGACACGAATCAATGAGAAATAGCTAAAATCTCTGGGTTCTGTAGTCCCAATCATTAACATGCATTAGAATCCCTATTATTCCCCTTTGAAAGAATGAAGGAAAGAGAATTAACCTAACATACACCAAAAACAAGAAGATTCACACTTGAGAGACTTAACATAGTCTTATCATCTGAAGCTTATGTCTCACACAGAGTTCAGCATGTACAGGATTATGCTGACACCATCCGAGCACAGTTGCATTAATGGTGTGATGTTACCTCTGAAGTAAATAATCATACACACTCCGCCCATTAACTTTCAATCACTGTGAATCTTTCCTCATGGACTCCTAAATGGTAAGATATATGCATACCCCTGATCCCTACCCAGACCCGAAGTGCTGAAAAACAGTGTGTTGCTTACAATTCCTTGAGAAAGGCTCTCCACTAGAAAAATCAAACAGGTGAATTATTATTTTTTAAATGGCAAGCAACATATTCCAGAAAGCAAGCCAGCAAAACATACAGAGAAAGGAGGCATAGAGGCTTCTAAGTCAGAATATTGAGAGAAATAAAATATAACAAGGAAGAATGCTGGGGAGAAAAAACAGAAAAATAGACAAGGCAAGATATGTGATGCAACATTGTCACTCACGTTAAGATTTTCTGCAGTGGATGCCTCTGGACTTATTTCAATGAGAGATGTCCTTCACACTCTGCACATAGGCCTCATGCTCAAAAGTGATGCTGCTGTGGGTTTTTCTGAGTTGTGAACACAGAGGTAGAGATCAGCTTTGGGTTTCCAAACCCTTAAGCTACAGGTACATATATTCCTCCTCTCTCCTGTTGACTAGGCTTGAAAGATGTCACGTCTTTTCTCCTCCTTTTTCTTTGTTGGTGAGTAGCTATAAATGGGAACAACTTTCACCTCCTTTGGTAATTAAGAGTTCCTTATTTTCTTCAAACTAATACACACCCTATTAGAAATCTTAGGGAACAATCATCTTTTTCGTTTATCCCCAGGAGTATTTGTTTTTCCTTTTATACTGCTGCGGGTCCTCCTCTCTGACGGCTGTTTGATACTAGCCCGTTTCCTCTGCCTGTCAAGCGTCCCCTTCCCCTTCACAATTGATATCTGACAGCAAAATGGGCGGGGGGGGGGGCTGCTCCTTCTTGCTTGACTAGCGTGAGGAACTTATTTATAAAGTCGGCGGCTCCAACAGGCCAGTGGAAAATCTGCTTCGTTTCCTTGTCGGCGAGCAGGTAGGTACCGATTTTAAGTTGCAGGAGAGAATTTAAGAGGGAAGTGGTGGCTGTGGCTGTGGCGGCGGCGGTGGGGGGCGGTTTAAAATAAAAATACGAGGGCGCGAGAGACGAGGTCGGTCCTTCCTCCCTCCCCTCTGGCGGCCGCTACGAGCTCTCCTTCCCGGCCGGGGCTCCTTTCCCTTCCATTCCGCCGAGAGGGGCCTTTAAATCCTTGCGGGAGTGGACAACTGACCCAGACGCGGGGCCTAGCTGCGCGCGGGCTGTCCTTGGCCTCTGCGGGGGAAGGAGGCGTGCGTGGGGCGGCGCGGGGGGGGGCGCTCCTCCTGGGCCTCCGCCTCCCCGAGATGATCCCCTCCGCGGCGCCGGGAGGGAGGGCTCTTTCCCCGCGAGCCCGGGGCCGGGGAAGGGAGGGCGGGAGGGAGGGAGGAAGCGGGAGGGCTGCGCGGGGCGGGGGTGGCGCCGCCGCCGCCGCCGCTCGCTCGCTCCTCCTGACTGGCTTGCCACGGGAGGCCGCGGCGGCTCCTGGGCCTGGCGCTGCTGCTGCTGCCCGGGCTGAGGCCCGCTCCCGGGGGTCTTCCCGAGCGGGGCGGCGGCTAGGCAGACCCTCCGCAGGCCCCGGCCTCGCTGCTGCTGCTGTGCTGCCGCCCCTGCCGCCTGTCGCTCGCTCCGTGTGCTCCGGGGCTGCGGCTCCACTGCAGGCCCCGGCTCCTCCCCGGCCTCCGCTCCGCCTCCCCCGGCTCCCTCCAGGCCGCGCCACCCCCGCCTCCCCGCCTTAAGGTGGCTCCTCTCGCAGGAGGCGGCGGCGGCGGCGGCGGCGGGGCCCCGGCAGAGGGGAAGCCAACCCGCTTCTTCCCCATCGCCTGACGGAGGCGCTTCCGTCGCCTCCTTCCTTCGCAGCCTCAAACACCCCTTTCCCCTCACGAAAAGCGCCAACGGCCGGCACCCCCTTCCAACGGCCAGGCGGCGGGGGGGGGCTCCGGATTTGCCGCCCCCTCCTCGCCCCCCCCCGTGTCTCCCCTCAGCTTTTCCCGCGAGTAGACCCGGCTCCCCGGTTTAAGTTTGAAACGTGCAAATGGGGGGGGGGTCGGAGTGGGGGGGAAGCTGAGCCCAGAACTGGGCAGGAAATACACCATCTCATGGGGGGCAGAGAAAACGCGGACGACTGTGCGTCTGAATGTACTTTGTAAAACCCGCCGTGTCTTTCCATAAAAAAGGGGAAGCAAAAACCACTCCCTGCAGGAGCAGCTTGTGGCAAACCGTAGCCAGATCTGCCGCCAGAGTTAGCTAATAGTTTAAGGGTGATTTGATACATTTGCTTAGGCTCAAGTCAACATTTGCCCGCTGCTGTTACTTTTCTGATGAAGTTTGGGAGGGTGCGGAAACCCATTTGCAACTGATGTCACTCAAAGTTGTCTTTGGGCAAAAAGGACAAAAACTTTCTGGACTGTCATGTTGCAAGGCCCTCGAAGGTACATCGTTTGCAAGTGTGGTTCTCCAGAATTTGACTTTGTTACCAAAATTATTCAGTTATGACGTGAGTATCCAGACCTTACTGACAAAGCAAAATCTGTGATGCTGCCATGTGCATGTGTCATTTGGACACGTGTCAGTCAGTTGTTGTGTGTATGTATCTTTGTGAGACAGCCTTTTCAGCACTGACTATCTGATAATCATCAGATCTGACATTGAACTGCTTGTGGCAAAATGCAAGCTGAGCCATCTCACTGACGCTTGCCAAAATGGACTTTATCATAAATAAAAGTATTAAAAATATTCATAGCTTGTTATTTTATTATTTTCACATATGTATACAAGAAGCAACAATCAATATTCAACCATCCCACCCCCACTGAAGCACAAAATTTCTACTTAATTACATTTCACTTTCAAGTTATTTTAAGTTTTTAAACAAAGGCATCATTCCACAAGTTGTAATTTGTCCTTGGAGGCCTAGGACATCGTTTTTCAAACTCTGGTCTTCAAGCTTCATTCAGGTGGTCCATTGTGTATTTGCATTACATATTCATATTGACTTTTAATTTTATTTCTATTGCTCCTTTTGTTTCTTAGATGAAGTCTATGGAATTCAAGTTGTAATTCAATACAATGCTATACAATAAATAAAATCAGCAATAAATATTCAATTAAAAATCACACAGCATCTCACAGTGTGCGTTACAATTGCTTCAAGAGACAGACAAATGATTACATGGTCCACCAAGAAGACCCTTACCAATATTCAAGTGGTCTGTGGGGGCATGAGAGGGAGTTTGGGAACTGCTGATTTAGGATAGAAGTCTCAGGTGGTTAAAATAAGCAAAGCCAATACATGGGGAAAGTGAAGAACATCCCAAATTTTTGCCTGGAAGAAAATTCTCTCTGATTTAAGCACAAAGTTTATTTCAACAATTTAGCACAGACAAGAAGACCAGCAGGCGATAGCTGGAGAAGCAGCAAGAGTGTACTCTCTAATTTTTTATGCCTAACCCTCCATGCACCCATGTTTTGTTATGCCACCGCATGACCATGGCAGCCATTTTTTAACTGATGCCCACAGCAGTCTCTCAAAATTCAAGAAGTGCCCACTGGTCCAAAAAGGTTGTTGACTCCTACTTTACAGTTACTTCTGCAAAACCAAAAAGTGCTCAGCAGGATGCTAGAGAGTCCCAGAGGATTTGGGATGAGCAGAAACTTAGTTTGGGGTTCCCATCCCATGTTTCCCCCCCCCCCATATCTATAGATAGTTGTGGACCTGAGTGCAGCGCCACTTGGAACACCTTATCACAAAACAAAACTTTAGACCAAAAGTGATGTTAGCATGTCTGATGAGACTGTCTCCTTGCGGTATCTTTTATTTAGGATAGCAGCCCAATGCTTATTTTGAGATGAATAATCTCCAAATGCTGATTCAAAAATATGTTGGAGGTAATTGGTATGTTTAACCCAAGGCTGAATGGGATTTATCTGGGGACATAGAAAATTGTTGCTGTTTTTTCATTCAGACTGTTTGGACAATGGGGAGCTAGGGGAGCTAGTACTGTAACCAGCTTCAGCCTTGTACAGCCACAGGAAGGATTTAGGAATGATCTGAAGGGTTGTTTTAGATCAGGCTTCCTCATCCTTGTCCCGCCAGATGTTTTTTTTGGCCTACAACTCCCATGATCCCTAGCTAGCAGGACCAGTGTTCAGGGATGATGGGAATTGTAGTCCCAAAACTACAAGGAGGGCCGAGGTTGAGGAAGCCTGTTTTAGATCATATAGGAGCAATAATCATAGGCATTGAACCTTCTACAACATAACTGAGTAGTAAGTAAGAATCCCTGAAGGTTTGAAAGCCGCTGCCTCCTAATGCCAAGTGGACCTAACAGGTGACCTCCTTGACACACAAGGGGCTGCTCCAAACCAGCAGCAACATGAGTGGCCTGTGCCACTTTAGGGGGCACCTGGTAGAGTCCTCTTTTGAATGCTCCCTTCACATACAAGAATTCCTGAGGGGGGGTGGGATTCCACCCTGTTGGTCTTGTCTTGCTCGCAAGGCGTCTTTGGGAGGGGAGGGGAATCCTTCGAAACTGAATCTCCGGTTGTACCAGTACTTCAAGCACCGCATTCTGCTGCGCGTGTAAACAAGGTTATGGAGAGGAAACCGGAGCAGAACAAAGGAGAAAAATAGCAGGGTCGCTGGTGTGTATTGTAAGAGCTGAGTAGGCCAAGGCCAGCTAAGAGTTGCTGCAAGCAGGCAATGACGCACTTTGCACAATGGCAAGGTTGGAGCTGCGTGGGAAGGGAGGCATCCATGTCTCGATGCGCAGCGATATTCCGTGGCCGGGAGCGGGCCGGGCTCCAGAGGCGAGCACCTGTTGCGATCCGCAGGCCGGCCAGCATTTATTTTTTCCGGAACAACGAGGACTAGGCGCGCCCTTTCGGAGACGCCACGGAACACTCTGCCCCGGCGCCGCCCCGGAATGGCGGAGGGCCGGGCGCGAGGCCACCTTAAGAGGACGGCGGAGTCGGCGCGGCGGCGCGCAGGGGGCTCCTCCCAGCCCCGTGTCGGAGGCAGCCGAGGAACGTGTCCCGCTCGGCCGCGGGGGAGACGCGCGCCCGCCCGCGCCAAATGGCCGGCGGGGAAGCTGCCCTCCGCGCGCCCCGGGGCGGGGGGGGGGCGAGGGGAAGGCCGAGGAACCCGCGGGGAGGGAGGGAGGGGGAGGCGTCTGCAGGAGCGGAAATGGCTCGCCTCCCCTTCCTCGGGAAGCTGGGTCTGCCCCTCAGCTGGCGGGGCGGGAGCCGCGTCGGGCGCGCAACGCCCCTTGCACGGAGCCAGGCCCGGAGGCCCGGGGAGGCGAGCGCCTCAGGCGGCGGCGGCGGCGGCAGCAGCATCCCCACGCCGCGCTTTATGCGCCCTGCTTCCCCGTGGCCGAGGGGGGCACCAGCAAAAGCCTTGGCCTGGCCCGTCTCGATTTCTTGTGGGTCTGGTGCAGACACCTGCAAGCAGAATCTTGAGGCCGTTTAGGCACACCTTTCCAAGAAAGATGCACTTCAGTGGGTTGCCCAGGGCACTACTTTAGTTGTGCACCAGAGGTGTCTCAACCTGAGTTTGAAAGTATAATTGTCTCTGCTGTATTCGTGTACATCTGCTCTATGGGGGGGGGGGGCTTTCCTTGTTTCTTGATCCAGAAGCTGCAGTTAGTGCAGGATGCTGCAGCACAATTGCTGACAGGAGTGAGGCCTCCTCGGCATGTGACACCTGTGCTCAGAGATCTGTACCAGTTGTCGATTTGCTACTGGGCCAGGGTCAAGGTATAGGAGGCCCTTAACAACTTGGGACCAGGATCCCTACAAGATCACCTTACCCACTCAACTGCTTCGGTCAGCGGAATTGGTACCGCTACAGGTGCCACATAATACCTGTCGCGCATTTGTAATAATTTGATCGTTTAGTGTGGCAGCACCTACACTTTGGAACCCCCTGTCTGTTGAGATCAAGTAGGTGCCTTCACAATCCTTTTTTCGGCGCCTGCTAAAAACATTGTCGTTCATAGAAGCCTACCCAGATGTTTAGAAAACTCAGATAATTTTAACATCTGTAAGTTTTAAAGTGTGGTTGTTACCGTAGTTTTTCTTGAAACTCCTAGTCACACAGGGGAGCCAATCACTCTTCCTTTTTTATATATTAAAAAAATCATTATATTCATTCTAAACAAGGGAAGGGAAAACTACAAGCCATACAACTATTTGTAAAAAAAAACTTAGTTTTTCCCCAAAACGACTAAATGCATATTGGCTATGTAAATGTCAGGTATAGATAGCTGAATTACCCTCAGTTTCTATTCGAGAGAGAAATGGGGGGGG